GAGTTTGGAAAATGGTTAAGAACATACAAGTGTTTTTAAAAGTGTAGGGAGGGCCCGGGAGATGGCTCAGTGGAATAAGCACTTCCCTAGCAAGTGCAAGGGTCTGAGTTCAATACCGGGTTCTGCCAAAAAAAAAAAAGTGTGGGGAGATGGCTCCCCAGGGAGATGGCTCCCCAGGGAGATGGCTCCCCAGGGAGATGGCTCAGTGTTTATAAGCGCTTCCCTGGCAAGTGCAAGGGCCTGGGGGCCTGGCCCTAGCTCAGTTCTTTAAGTGACTGCTTCCACAAAGCTGTCAGCCTCAGGTTGCTGTAGTTCGATCACCACAACACTCCTGCCCTGAAGGCATTCGAGGAGCAAAAAATAAATAAAGAAAATAAAGAAAGAAAAATAAGAGTGTGGGGAAAAAGTAAAAGTGTGGGAAAGGTTTATATAAGTTTGTTGAGGGTTTATAAAGCCATATATATTAGAATAAATATGACGTAGGATTTTCACTTATCGCGGGGGTGTCTGCAACGTAACCTCCTCAATAAGTGAGGGACCACTGTACTTGCAATTTGGCTCCTTGGATTCCATCCCAGGTAGGTAGGGCGGCGAGTGCTGGAGACAAGAATTTACTGGCGTCCCCATCCCTTTCTGGACTCAGGGTTCCTTAATCCTAGGCTCATGGTGGATGAGAAAGGCAAAAAATTCTACACTGGGTCCGCCCCGCCTTGTTTCACCTAGTCCACTGAACTGGAATATGCGGTGTGCTATATTCAGCCCGGCAGCAGCACAAATCTCCCTCCTCAGGGTGTGATTGGTACAACCCAAACGCCTCTACCTTGGACCAATGAAAGACATGCCTGGACACGCCTCCACCTCTGATTGGTTGAGGAATTTAAAGATCCGGCCGGTGATAGGATGATTTTTTTTATCCCTAGTATTTGAAAATTCCTAGCTAGTTTTGCAGCGTCGCCAGACTCTCGGCTCGGCTCTGATCGCCTTCTCCATCCGAGCGCCAGCAAGTGTGAGTGTCTGTCCAGAATCCGGGCTGGGAGGGGTGGACGCCAGGAGGGTACAGACTGATGAGCCCGACGGGGAATACTCGGATTCTGGGACCTGGGCTTTTCCCGGAAAGGAGAAGGCCAGGGTGTCGGAACTACACTGAGCCTAAAACCTCTGCCCATGGGCTGACAGCGACTGAGCTCGCCTCGACCAAGATTTGCACTTCTGCAACAATGACAACTGCCTGGCCACGCAGAAACCTGGTACTGAACGTACCTGGAAGACCGCAAGGCTTATTACATGTCGGCACCATTCTCTCGCCTCCTGCGAGGGTACCCCGACGAGTCTGACCTGGCCCTGGGTCTCTTGAAATAAGCTTCTTTTCTGAGCACAAGAACACCCGTCTTTGTTTTTTTTCTTTCTTGTTTATTTTTTTTCTGAGACAGGGTCTTGCTATCCAGCTCAGGCTGGCCCTGAGCTCACTTTGTAGTCCAAGATGGTATCGAACTCAAAACGATCCTCCTGCTTCAGCCTACCGAATGCTGGGACTATAGGCGTGCGCCACCACACCTAGCTCACTCTTCTAATGTGGCAGGACCACTGAGGCTTTCAACTCTGGGTGCATCTGACGCTGTCCAACCACTGCTCCGGAAACTTGTGTAGCCGAGGAGGCTACTGGAAGTATTGTTTTATTTTATTTTTTATTTTTATTTTTTGGCGGAACGGGGGGATTGAACTCCGATCCTTGCGTTTGTCAGTCAAGCGTTATCCTACTGAGCCATCTCCCCGGCCCCTTATTGTTTTGTTTTAATTGGGATGGAGCCCAGGGCCTCTGCACGGAGTTACATCCCCAGCCCTTTTTTACTTTTGATTTGAAGAGGTCTCTCTAAATTGTTAAGCTGCCCAGGCTAGGCTCAAGCTTACGATCATCCTGCTTCGGTCTCCCAGAGTGCTGGGATTCCAGGCGTGCGCCACCGCATCGGTTTCGAGTGGGTCTGGGATGAGCTCCGGCACACAGTTAGCGTCTCTGGGGTTTCCTGGGTCACCGTGACCGCCCGCACAAGCTAGCTCTCCCCCACGGCCCCTGCACCCTCCCTATTCCCGCGTCTCCGGCGCCTGCGATCCGATCGGGTCTTTTCGCAGGCGGCGGAGGCGGTGGCCATGCTCGCGGGCACTGAGGAGGCGGCGACGGCGGAACGCGAGGTCGCGGAGCTGCAGTGCCGCGTGGCCATAGAGGAGCTGAGCCCGGGCGGACAGCCGCGGAGGCGCCAGGCCCTGCGCCGCGCTGAGCTGAGCCTGGGCTGCAACGAGCGTCGCGAGCTGCTTCTGCGGCTGCGCGCGCCGGGCCCCGCGGGGCGGTCTCGTTGCTTCCCCCTGCGCGCCGCGCGTCTCTTCACGCGCTTCGCTGCTGCCGGACGCAGCGCGCTGCGGCTCCCCGACCCTGGCGCCGTGCGGGCGGGTGCCACGCAGCTGCTGCTCTCCGACTGCCCTCCAGAGCGCCTGCGCCGCTTCCTGCGCACGCTGCGACTCAAGCTGGCCGCAGCCCCCGGGCCAGCACCCGCCTCCGCGCGTGCGCAGCTGCTCGGCCCACGGCCCAGCGACTTCATCTCCATCAGCCCAGTGCAGCCCGAGGAGCTGCGGCGTGCGGCCGCTACTCGCGCTCCCAATAAGCCGCGGTCGGAGGAGCAGGCCCCAGCCAAGCCCAGCACGGTGAGGACAGAAAGGGACGCCGTTGAGGTGGGTGTGCCCCGCGTTCCATCCTCCGTCCTCGAAATGGAAGGAGCCAAATGGTGCAGAGATACCTTGGGACATCTGAGTGTGACAAGGATGTGGCAGGCGCCTGTGCTTCCTTTAGCTTTTATAATCCCGAGACTGCCAAGAGGAAATGAGGGTCTGGAGGTTCTGTAAAGCCCAGGTTGGGCTCAAACTTGCAATCCTCCTGCTTCAGCCTTCCAAGTGCTGGCATTACAGTCGTGCGACACCACCTCCGCCAAAGGACAGGTTTGTGATAGGAAGAGAAGTGAGGAGTAATGTTGGGTGACAGCCGGACAGGGCAAAGAGCCTAGGGGAGAAAGTCGAGGAAGGATCCAAATGCAGGATCTCTTCAGGGCCCAAGCAGACACCTGGCCGTTGCAGGCTGTGGCAGTATCTCCTGGTGAACCAGGCTGCTACTCATACGGGCTGCCAGGCTGTGCTGCCAGCTAGGAGGCGCTGAGACAGCCCTGCCGCTGCCCCCCAGGGAGTTCCTCCGTGGCCGCAGCCGGTGAAGAGGCTGAGCCTGCCCCCCAGCAAGCCACAGCTGTCGGAGGAGCAGGCTGCCGTGCTGAGGCTCGTTCTGAGAGGCCAGAGCATCTTCTTCACCGGGAGTGCAGGTAGGGGGCAGAGAGGGGCTGCGGATGATGTGCAGGTTGGCGCAGAGGTACCGGCAGGCCTGACTTTGCCCCCTGCCCAGGGACTGGGAAGTCCTACCTGCTGAAGCGCATCCTGGGATCGCTGCCTCCCACGGGCACTGTGGCCACTGCCAGCACAGGGGTGGCAGCCTGCCACATTGGGGGTACCACCCTTCACACCTTTGCAGGTGAGTGTGAGCCCCAGGGCTTGAACTAGAAATAGTTCGACATGGTGGCATACACCTGCAAGGCCAGCACCCGGGAGACTGAGACAGGAGGATCTGGATGAGTTCGAGGCCAGCCAGAACTACATAGGCAGACCCTGTCTCAAAAAACAAAGCAAGTCAGTCCTGTGGGAGGGAGGTCAGGGCTGGCAGTGGCTGGGCTGAACAGTGTCACTCACAGGCATTGGCTCGGGCCAGGCCCCCCTGGCCCAGTGCATAGCTCTGGCCCAGCGGCCAGGCGTGCGGCAAGGCTGGCTGAGCTGCCAACGGCTGGTTATTGACGAGATCTCCATGGTGGAGGCGGACCTGTTTGATAAGCTGGAGGCTGTGGCCAGGTGAGAGTGGGCTGGGAGGGCAGCCACAGAGGTTGCCATCGGGGGTCACACCGGAGGAGCAGCCCCTGAGTCCCAACAGCTGCCTCCACCTCCCACAGAGCTGTGCGGCAGCAGGAGAAGCCATTTGGAGGGATCCAGCTCATCATCTGTGGGGACTTCCTGCAGCTACCCCCGGTCACCAAGAGCTCCCAGCCCCCTCGCTTCTGCTTCCAGGTACCATTCACCCCTGGCTCGGCTCTCCCATCCCCAGCATTCTGGCCACTCCTGATTGCTGTCCTCACCCCTGCCAGGCCAAGAGCTGGAGTCGTTGTGTTCCTGTGACCCTGGAGCTGACTGAGGTGTGGAGGCAGGCAGACCCCACCTTCATCTCCCTGCTGCAGGCTGTGAGGCTGGGCAGGTGGGTCCCTGTGTGGGCACAAAGGGAGCACAGGGCTCAGGAGAGGATCCTAGGGTGATCCTGGGCACAGGAAGACATACAGCAGTGAGGAGCTTCACGGATCCAAAGATGTCCCTGGGATCCAGCCTCCTTGTCACACAGCACAGTTAGCATGGAGTGGGTTCCAGGGAGAAAGGAAGGAAGGACAGAGGACACACAGGAGGAGTTGAGAATTGGCACCTCTGTGTCCACCACAGAGATGTAGAAAGTGGGGGCCAAGGAAGTACAGTGACTACCCAAAGCGGTAGCAACACTGAGATCTGAACCCAGCTCTGAGTTGAAATCTTAGCTGGGGCTCGGGAGATAGCTCGGCGGTCTAAGCACATGCCTGACAAGTGCAAGAACCTGTGTTCGATCCCTGGTACCATACCATATTCCATACCAGCCCCAGAACCCTGGGCACACTGTGCTGGCCACTGAAACTGGGTATGGTGGCGCATGCCTGTAATCCTTGTGTTGGGAAGGCTGAGACAGGAGGATCACTGTGAGTCCAAGCTGCATAGTGAGACCCTGTACCAAATAAATAAATTTTTCTACTGAGCTATCTTCCTGGCTCAAATAAATATTTTTTTTTTTTTTTTTTTCGGAACCGGGGATTGAACTCAGGCCTTTGTGCTTGCCAAGCAAGTGCTTATTCTACTGAGCTATCTCCTCGGCCCCATTAATAAATTTTTAAAAAAAGAAAAAAAAAACTTTAGCTGGGTGCTGTGGCACTTCTTTGATCCTATCACACTGGGCTGAGGCAAGAGGGTCAAGATTGCTGCAAGTTCAAGGCCAGCCAGGAGCAGTGCATCTGTGTCTGCTGCCTGGACTACCCTGCCCGTGTCCCCTGCTGTCCTCAGGGTTCAGTGAGCTCTGTCCTGACAGCCCAGCCCCACAGGTGCTCCGATGAGGTGACCCAGCAACTCAGGGCTACAGCTGCCCACAAGGTGGGGCGAGATGGCATCGTGGCCACAAGACTGTGCACCCACCAGGACGATGTCGCGCTCACCAACGAGAGGCGGCTGCAGGAGCTGCCAGGTGAGCAGGGAGCCAGGGCCAAGGGGCCACATGGTAGCCAGGCACTCAGCCTCTGTGTCCACCACGGCTGTTAGGCTCACAGATGTAATCGGGACCCTAAGAGGTGCAGTGCTGAGCCCAACTCCATGTCCCCCGTGCCCCACGCTGATCTGTGATTTTGGAAGCTCAGCCAGCCTCAACTCATAATCTGTTTTTCTGCTTCGTTTCCAGGGAAGGTGCACAACTTCGAGGCTCTGGACAGCCACCCTGAGCTCGCTCGGACCCTGGATGCCCAGTGTCCTGTGGGCCAGCTCCTGCGGCTAAAGCTGGGCGCGCAGGTGAGCAGAAGGCGGGACTCGACCCAGAGCAGCCTTTCTCTCCATCCAGCTCAGCGCCTTGTTTCTAGCACAGGGAGTGCTGTAATCCTAGCATTCTAGGAGGCTGAGGCAGGATGACTGCAAATTCAAGCTTAGCCTGGGGCAATGTAGTGAGACCCTCTCAAAATAAACAATTGGGAGGGCTAGGGATGTAGCACAGCCTCCTGCCTGGCAAGTGCAGGGTCATGAGTTTGATTCTTGGTACCAAAAAAAAAAAAATTTTTTTTTTCTTTTCAAAGTTTTATTGATAAACATATAGCAATGAGACAGTTTCAAATCAAATCGAAAGTACAGTTTCAACAAAAAAAAAAAAAAAATTTTTTTTTTTAAGGGTCAAGGGGTATAACTTAGAGCAGCTGCCCTGGGTTCAAGCCCAGGACCCCAAAAATAGATAGTGAAATGCCCCCCGCCTTGGCTGTCTTCTGTAGGGCACCTTAGAGGGGGCTGAGTCACATTCCTCCCAGGATGGAGACCTGGAATGAGAGACTTTGCTCAGGATCTGGAGGGTACCCAAAGGGCAAGTGTAGGCCCCATGGCTGAGCAAGGGGTGGCAGGAACCCCCCCCCCAAAGCTTGTGACCCCATAATAGATCTGACTTCCACTCCCCCCAGTTTTTATTTTTTTGGTGGAACCGGGGATTGAACTCAGGCCTTTGTGCTTGCTAGAGAAGTGCTTATTCCACTGAGCCATCTCTCCCCCCCCAGTTTGTGTGGTGTCAGGGGATCGAACCGTGGTCCCTGTGCTTTTGCCAAGCTTGTTCCAAGTAGGTGCTTTAGACCACTGAGCCATCTCCCTGCCCCCCAGTTTTTAAAGGCAGGGTCACACCATGTAGTTCAGGCTGGCCTTTTCACTCATTATGTAACCCAGGGTGACTTCCTATTTACGGTGATCGAGTGCTACGATTACAAGCATATGCGGCCATGCCCAGTTTAGATCTGACCATTCTAAAGCCTCGTGATGTAGGTCAGTTTCCAGGTTCTGCTACCTGCTCCTGAGACAGGAAGGGAAGCTGTGAGAGAACAACGGATTGAGACTTGGTACCGTGCTGTGGTAGTCCTGGCCCTCACTCAGCCTTTGGGGTGGCTGGGGGCTTGGAGGTGAGCAGGTAGGCAGGGCCCCCACACCCCTCTGCTCTTCCACAGGTGATGCTAGTGAAAAATCTGGCGATGTCACGAGGCCTGGTGAACGGCGCCCGAGGGGTGGTGGTGGGGTTCGAGGCTGAGGGCAGAGGTGAGTGCCCAGCAGGGTGGGCATGTGGCCGGGTGGCGGCAGGGTCTCCCGGCACTCCCACCCCACTGTCCCCGTGGCAATGCCCTATCCTTCCCCAGGGCTGCCCCAGGTGCACTTCCTGTGCGGTGTTACCGAGGTTATCCATGCAGACTGCTGGACGGTGCAGGCCACAGGGGGCCAGGTCCTCAGCCGGCGGCAGCTGCCCCTTCAGCTGGCCTGGGCACTGTCCATCCACAAGAGCCAGGTAGCCACCAGGCGGGACACGACACAGGCTGGGGGGGCACCTGGAGGCATTGTGGGAGAAAGTTCCAGATCAGGACTAGAGGAGCTACCTGCATCCTGCCTCAGATAAACCAACCTTTTCTCGGCCCTCTCTCCTGAGACTCAGGTCTAGCCTCCCAGGTGCTGTAATCCAGGCCATACTTGGCTCCTTGCTTTCTTTCCCTCCCTTTTTTTTTTTTTTCCTGTTTTGGTTTGTTTTATGAGACAGGGTCTGGCTATGGAGCCCAGGCTAGCCTCGAACTCACAGCAATCCTCCTGCCTCAGCCTCCTGATTACAAGCATGCACCATCATGCCTGATGCTGTTGTGTTGTTTTGATACAGGGTCTCATTCTGTAGGGAGGCAGGCCCTGAACTCCCTGTGTAGCTCGGTTGGCCTGGAATTCCCAACCCTCCTGCTTCACCCTTCAGTTCTTTCTGTGGCCCCTTTGTATTTAGATCCATGTGCTGTAAGGATCTCTCTGCTGGAAACTGGGTGACAGACAATATCCAGGGTCAGGAGCTGGGCTGGTGAAGGATTGGGCTCTTGGATGCGGAGACCTCAGGCTGAGCTGGCTGTCCTGTCCCCACCCCTAGGGCATGTCTCTGGACTGTGTGGAGATCTCCCTGGGCAGGGCGTTTGCCAGCGGTCAAGCCTATGTTGCCCTCTCCCGGGCCCGCAGCCTGCAGGGTCTGCGGGTGTTGGACTTTGACCCCTTGGTGGTCCACTGTGATGCCCGTGTGCTGCATTTCTACGCCACCTTGCGGCGGGCCAGGTGCCTCAGGCTGGTAAGAGGGAATCACCCAAAGGTGGGTGCCAGAGGACAGGGGAGGCCCAGGACAGCTCAGGGTGATAGTGCCCTCTGCTGGCTTCTGTGGGTGGAGGCAACAGGAAAGATGCAGCCCCAGGGACAGCCAGCACAAGTAGTGTGACTAGGCTTTTTGGTTCTGATCCAGGAGTCCCAGGAGGAGGAACCAGGCTCAGACCAGGAGAACACAGACCCAAACCGCTGAGCTGCTGCAAAGGGGAGACCGTGCTGGAGGGACCCAGCTCCCTGCACCCTAGGGAACAACTGAGGGGACCTGATGTCCTTTCTCCACCCCTCAGGGGTATCGAGGCAGGGTTAAAGGATAGGGCTTCTTGCCTACTTACCAGCAGGGCTAATTGCTCCCTGCCCTGGGCTCAGAAGTCACCCTTTCTGTGCCCACTGGGAACAGGCCTGGGCTGGTACCCAGCAGCAGAGGAAAAGCTGTGTTCAAGAGCTGGCCGCAGAGCCATGGCGTGCTGTACACTCCTCTCTGGGCTGCAGAGGGATAAGCAGGGCAGATAGCTGCTTTGGGACTGCCAGCCTCTCCTGGGGGCTATGCTTGTGAGTTTTCTGCTGCTGTAACAAACACTAGAGGGCAGGGAATGATACAAAGAAAAGAGGTTTACTTGGTGCACATTCTCCAGGGTCAGGAGCATGGTGCCTGCGCCCATTTGGCTCTGGTGGGACTGTGTGTCACACAGGACAGGGGTACATATGAGTGGGGTCACAGGGGATGCAAGAAAAGGGCCATGAGACAACCTGGGCATGGTGGTACACACCTGCAATCCCAGCGTTTGGGAGGCTGAGGCAGGAGGATCAAGAGTCTAGTCTTGGCCTGAGTAATTTAATGACTACTTAGTGAGAGCCTATCTTAAAAATCTTGAAAAGGGCTGGGGTTGTAGCTCAGTGCAAAGGCCTTGGGTTCAGCCCCATTACTGCAAACTATTAAGCAAGTGACACAGGGAGGCCTGGCTCCCTGTTTTTATAACCAGCCTACCAGGAACTCTTCCATTCCTGGCAGACCTCATCCAATTCTCCTCCGCCAGTCTCCACCTTGCCACTACAGACTGCCACACTGGCACCAAGCTGTGTCCAAACCCATAGGGGACAAATTATCAAAACCACAGCAGGAAGGGCCTACTCAGATAGCTCAGTGGACTAAGCGCCTGCTTAGGCAAGCACACAGACCGGAACTCAATCCTAGGCACCACATGCTGAGCCAGCCTGTGAGACCAGGTGTGGTAGTGGATCCCTGTAATCCCAGCGCTGGGGAGGCTGAGACAGGAGGATCACTATGAGTCAGAGCTGCATGGTGAAACCCTGTAACAAATACGTTTAAAAAATAAAATAGCAGGCATCCAGAAACAGGTGGGAGCTTGGAGGTTCAGTGCAGGGCAGCCCAGGGCCAACGCTTGAGCACACACTGCAAAACCTGCTTTTTTTTTGCGGGGTGGGAGGGTGGTTGAGGTGCTGAAATGGATGTTCTCAGGTTGTATTTATTTGGGACAAGTAAACTTGTGCACTCTGGGATCTGCATCCTGGGCCTCTGCCTCCCTCCCTGCGCATGCAAACATCACTAGGCGAGGTGCAGCCCCGAGGGCGAGGTGCTGTTAATGTCATCATTCTGGAAGACGGTTCTGGAAGTTGAGGTGGTTGAGGCTGGCCTAGCAATCAAGTGACAAGGGGAGTCACCCTCATCTGACAAACATGGACACACTACGTCTCTTCTCAGTTTGGGTCCTGCTGGTACTCCTGTTTTGTTTTTGATGGAACCCAGGAATGAACTCCGACCCTGCGCTTGCCAGGCAAGAGCTCATTCTACTGAGCCATCTCCCCAGCCCCAGACCGAACATTCTGATGGGGCAGAAGTCAACAAACCACTTTCAGTTCAAGAATAGGATGGCTACAATTCCAGCACCCTGAGGCTGAGGCAGGAAGATCACAAGTTTGGCCCCCAATTTGAACAATTTAGTGAGACCCTTTTTTTTTTTTTTTCCCCCCTCGGTACTGGGGATCAAACTTCAGACCTTGCATTTCCCAGGCAGGCACTTATGCCACTGAGCTATCTCCCTGGTCCCAGCTCCGTCTTTAAAAAGTTAAAGGAAAAAGAAAGAAGGTGTGGTGGAGCATGCCTGTAATGCTGTCATTCAGGAAGCTGAGGCAGGAGGATGCCTGTGCACTTAAGGCCAGCCAGGGCTATGTTGTGAGATCCTGTCTCAAAAACTTATTGGGGGGGCTGGTGAGATGGCTCAGTGGTCTAAAGCACCTACTTAGAACAAACTTAGCAAAGCAAAGGGACCGCTGTTCAATCCCCCAGCACCACATGCCAGCCAGCCCCGCCCCCTGGTGGGCTGAGCTGGCCACACACACACACACACACACACACACACACACACACACACACAAATAAATAAATAATTAAAAAAAAAAAAAACTTATTGGGGCCGGGGAGATGGCTCAGTGGAATAACCGCTTCCCTGGCAAGCGCAGGGGCCTGAGTTCAATCTCCGGTTCCACAAAAAAAAAACAAACTTATTTTGAGGAACAGTCACTGAGTTGCCCAGGCTGAGATCAAATGTGTGATCCTCCTGCCTTGGTCCCAGTGCTGGGATCACAGGTGTGTTGGGGGGGTTTTATGGTGATCCCCACCTTCTACAGCACAACCCTCCTCCTGGCCTGGCTGCGAGCACTTGAATTGGGTGACACATTCAGTCACCCTTCCACACAGCTGCCAGGGGCAGCCCGTGTGGCACACAGGACTAGTTTTCTCCTAGCTCTGCACTGCCTGGTTCTCCATGGAAATGGGAGAAGCCGACTGAGTGTAACTGATGGCGGGAGAGATAACAGAGAACTAGAACCAACACAAGGTCTGGGAAACGTCAAACCAGGGCTAGAAGCACTGGCGGAGCTTGCGGCAGCCATGTCACCAGGTCCTCTGCTTCTTTCCGCCTGGACGCCAACCTTGCAGGCAGGTTTGTACCTAGCTGACCTCTGTCCCTGCACAGGGCTGCAGCCACAGGCAAGAAGGTATGGAGACTGAGAGAGGACGACCCCAAGTTTCAGCCTAGCCTGAACAACTTACTTAGTGAGACCCTGTGTCACAACATGAAAAAGGCTAGGGCTGTAGCTCCGGTCAAAGGCCGTGGATCTGGTCCCATTACCCAGACACATGGGTTGGTGGCCCAGGCCTATAATCTGAGCACTCTAGGATGCTTGTCCTTGCTTTACCTTTTCTTTCCCCCAGTACTGGGGATCAAACCCAGGACTACTGCCACTGAGCCACATACCCAGACCGTTTTAGCTTTAAGATAGGGTCTCCCTAAATTGCCTGAGCTGCGGATTGAAGCACCTGGAAGCAGGCATAGGAGCGGGGGTGGGGGGGGGTGTCAGTCTCCCAGCCAGCCCTGCCGGCTCCTCCCCTAGCCCCACCTCTGGGGTGCACTGAGATGGCAATTGAGACTGGGCGTGGTGGCGCGCACCTGTAATCCCAGCTCTTGGGAGGCTGGAAACAGGCAGATCACTACAAGTCCAACCTAGTAGTGAGACCCTGAACACCCTGTAGACACTTCCCCAAAATACAAAAAATAAATTGCCAGAACTGTCTTTGAACTTGAGTTCCTCCTGTGTCAGCTTCCTGAGGTGCTGAGATTGCGGGCATGTGCCCTGAGCCCCCACTCAGCACGACCATGGAACTGTGTAGGCAGATAGCAGGGAACAAAGTAAGGGTGCCCTTAGGGGACCCACACTTCCCAAAGAACCCCTCTGCCTCTGTCCCTCCCACTTCCCGGGAAGTCCTCACCACAGGCCTAGACAGGAGTAGGAGACAGGCCCGTTGCTCAGCCCCAGGTCCAGGGCTATGGCTGAGCCTCACTGGTCTACCCTAGTTAGATGATGGGGTGTGGGGCGCAGCCTTAGACAGTCATGAAGCCGGGCCTGGTGGTGCAGCCTGTGACCACAGCGCTCAGAGGCTAAGGCAGTCAGATCACAACTTCAAGCCCAGCCTGAGCAATTTAGTGACACCCTGCCTCAGTCCCAGCACTGAGGAGGCTGAGGCAAGAGATATGCTTTGAGTTCAAGGCCAGCCCTAACTACAAAATGAGATCCTAGGGGCCGGGAAGATAGCTCAGTAGAATAAGCGCTTCCCTGGCAAGCACAAGAGCCTGAGTTCAATCCCTAGTTCCAAAAAAACCCCCAAAAAACCAGACCCTGTCTCTGTGAAGCCCTAGCTGGCCTCAAACTCACGGTGATCATATGTGACTCCAAAAAGTTAAAAAAAAGTTGGGGCTCTAGCTGTGTCAGTGCTGGCTAGCATGCATGAGGCCCTGGGTCCGATCCCTGGGAGCGAAAAGAAAACATAAACATTTCATGAAATGATAAAAGACAACACAGGTGTTGTGAGAAGACCATTTCCTCCCCACCCCTGGGGGGGCACCACTTTTCCGGGACAGCCGCCCACACCCTTTCTGGGGTCCTGGCTTCCCAAGCACCACCCAGCCGGGGCCAGTAGGTGGCGCCCCGGGGTTCCTCTAGGCCAAGCCTGGAGGCAGGCAGGTCCCTGGTCCCAGGGCTCCTCCGTGAAGCAGTTTCCGGTGTGCTTCGCAGTGGTTCTCTCCAAATAGGACAATCTCTCCTCACCATCCAGGGAGGAGAGATTGTCCCATTTGGAGAGAAGCCTGTCCCTTCAGAGGGGTGGTGGTTCATAACCGCAGTCTGGGGCTGCAGGCTTCTGGGGCTCTGCAAAGCTGGCCAACAGTCCTGCAGCCAGCCAGACTCCGCGCATAAATGCTGGCTCCAAGAGGCAGCACGGCGGCCGGCGGCGCATACGCATATAATCCCAGCGTTTGGGAGGCTGAGGCTGGAGGACTGCTATGAGCTGGAGACCAGTCTAGGCTACCTAGTGAGCTCAAAGCCAGCCTAAATTAACCAGTGAGACCCTGTCCCAAAAACATAAAAACAAAGCAATACTGGCTCCACCACTTCCTCACTGACCTCGGGCTTCTGTCTGGGATCATCATTAGCAGAATGACGACAACAGCTAGCCAGCAAAGTCAGCATCAAGGTCCGATGCCTACTGGCTTTTGTCACAGGCTCCTTCCCCTCCGTGGCCTCCGGGAAGCAGCATGGTGTGACAGTGTGACCATCCCCCATCCGCATATCTTCTCCACAGGGTGCTGCTGGCTCCCAGAGGGACAAGGCCCTGCCTACCCATGTGGGCCACACAGGCCCATGACAAAGCCACATTTCTGGGTCCCCAAGAAACAAGAGGGGCAGGTCGGACGGATGCCACCTATTCTGTCCTCTACCCAACTCCCATCTTCCACCCTATTGTGGAGGGGCACAGCTCAGGATGGCCTCGGGTCTCAGGGCCTTCAAAGAGGGATCTAACTTCCTGCCCCCAGTTTGTCCCTGAGACCCACAGGTGCAATTCCAGTGCCTTTCTCTGAGACAGGGTTTCAATATATAGTTCAGGCTGATCCTAAATTCACTATGTAGACCAGTTTGGTCTCAAACTTGTGGCGATCCTCCTACCTCAGCCTCCTGAGTGCTGGATCCTGGCACTTGATCACAGCAAGGGACATCACCTGCTGAGACCTAACCTTAGGAGGCCAAGATGGGGCAGGAGCTGCAGGTGTGCATGCGTGTGTGCATGGGCGCCCCATCCTGTCCACTTACAGATGTCTCCAGGCCCCTGACCCACACTGTGAACCTGCTGATGGCAGATCCCCTTCCTTGGCCTCACAGGGAAGCAGCCAGTCCGAGCTCTGGCAGAGTGGGGACCCATGGTCCTCGGAGGAGCAGGTGCAAACCCCATTCCAAGTGAGTAATGCCAGCCTCTGAGAATCTCAAAGCCCCTGGAGGGGAAACAAGGTCT